CAAAAAAAGTTGAATTAAAATCCATAAGATAATTATAAAAAATTTTAAATATGGATAAATTTATCAAATTAAAAAATGTAACGGTAAAAATTAAAACTACTTTATATGACTTACCTTTAGCTTTTTGACTATCGAAGTCGAGAAACTGTGATTCAAACAAGACAATGCAACCATGTTCAATATTTCACATCACATCACTTTTTAATAATTTTTTAAATAAGAGTGTTATTTATTTTTTGAATTAATCAATATTATTACTTTTTAAATATTTTTTAGTTATAAGGATAATATATTTTTCAGTTGACACACAAATTTTGTGAGATCTACCTAAATTATTGACATGTCAAAAAAAAAGGTGGCTGCTGAATTGGATAATTAATTTGCTGATTTGGACAATGCAGTAATACAAAAAGAAAAAAAGAAAAAATGCAAAAAGAAAAAAACAGAACCAGCCTCTACCCAATTTATTCACAGGTGTCGATAGCAAAACAGAGGTGTCGACACTTCTGGATCACACGAACCCGCACGCCGCGCGGCACCCGACTCGTTTGTTGCATTTTCCTTTTCTTTTTTTTTTCTTTTTTTCTTTTTTTGCTGTATTGTCCAAATCAGCAACTTTATTGTTGAAACTAGCTACGACCTTTAATTTTTTGACACGTCAATAGTTTCGGTGAGTTCCATACGCATAATCTGTCTGCTAGTTCAGTCCTGACATATAATTAATTATTGAATAATAAAATCAGATAGTTGGTAACTTTGATTAATTTAAAAAAAATATTAATGTTGTTATATATGTGAAATCTCAGTTATTTACTGATATGAAGGAATTTGGGTTGTGCTGGGATCCAAGAACGCATGAAGATGGAACCATTTTTCTTTGACTTTTGAAAAACAGTTTTGCTGGGATGGAGTATGAGGAAGACAGGGAGCTGACATTGAGATAACGACTTTCATTATGCAGCCTATGACATTGAATCCCGAAATGTCAATCAAGCAGACGGTCGATGCTGATCCAACAAAAAAAAAAAAAAAAAAGACGGCCTATGACTGAATTTCTAATTTTTTTAAGGTTTCTTAATAGACTGGGACTTAATAGAATATGCCATTTACAATATGCCAATTACATTCTTCTTAGGCGTTACCACCTTTCCTAAATGATGACTGCTTTGAGCTTTAGAACAAAAATTTGTTGGCAGAAGCTTCTAGTTCCAGCCCATGAAAGTCCAACCCCATTTCTACCACCCTATTGCAGAAGGTTATAAGCTACAGCAGCCATTGTTGAATATTTATGATGATTATTTCAACCATGGTAGATGAACCTCATTTAATAAGGTAGAAAATCTGCACCGGGTGGTTGGGTTTTTTACCCTATAAATAGCATGCAATGGCAAGGCAATAAGCAAGCAAGAAGCAAGGGAAAAAAAAAAAAACAAAGTGAGTGAGTGAGTTCCAAAGAGAGAGCTCCGGTGAAAAGAAAAAAAAAAATGGGTGAGAGCTAAGCATTAAAAGTTTAGGTGTAAGAGTGCTTTATAGAGAGAGTACATTGGGTGATAAAATTATTAGCTTATTAGGATTGTCATCATATCCTGGGGAAGTGGGAAACATCAAGAGAGAGAAAATATTTGAACGTATATTTTGTACAGTTTTATCACATATAGTGGAATACCCTTTAGAGTTTGTTCCGTGATTTTTTTCCTCAATAGTTTTTGGGGGTTTTTTCACGTAAAATTTGGTGTCATCTTATTATTTATTTTTCTTTTAAGTGGCTGGTTAAACCGCCCATTTTATTTTGCTTGGCTGGCTACGCCGCCTTTTTCACTAACCGTTAATATTGGTCTGTTAAATCGCCTGTTTCACTATTTATTTGTTATTATTCACGTGTTTGTTCACAGGAAATAATTTATTTCGCTGCGCCAATTTTTTCCCAACAAAATTGTCATGCATGAATGTGAAGCGGTCAAAGCAATTACCGTGTCTGAATTGAAGCTAATTCAGCTTATAAATTGCTTCTCACAAATTTCATTAGAAGCAGCAGATGCCCAACAATGCCCTGCCGCGCCATGATTTCATCTCTAGCACCTTTTTGGGTTCCATTGCTCATCCTCTTAAATAGTTTCTTGGTCCTTGCAGCAGCTCAAGGTGCTTCCCGCAATGTAAGCGTGGGCGAGTTTCTAACTGCCGATGATAAAAACCTTACATGGCAATCACCATCAGGAGATTTTGAACTTGGGTTTCGCCGTGCTCCAGACCAACAAGATCTATTCCTCCTTGCTATCTGGTTTGCCAAGATACCAGAAAAAACAATAGTTTGGTCTGCAAATGGAGATAACCTCGTAAAGATAGAATCCAAAGTTGAGCTTACCTCCAGTGGTCTAGTGCTCAGTGATCCTTCTGGCACGAAGCTTTGGTGCACTAACAACACCCAAGATGGCACTGGAGGAGTATCCCATGCAGCCATGCTGGATATTGGAAATTTTGTCATCACAAGCACAAATTCAGACAACATATGGGAGAGCTTCCAAAATCCAACAGACACCATATTGCCAGGACAAGAACTAGGCCTAAACAGCACTCTTTCATCAGCATTCTCCGCAACAAGCTACAAGAAGGGGAAATTTCAACTCAATTTCACCTCCGAATCTCTAGTCCTCAATCAAATAGATGTCTACACGGGGAAATCTTTCCAGTTTTACTTCAACATCACAGATGGTTCTAGATTGATCTTCAACAAATCCGGGTATATCCAGATCAGAAAATCAGATGGAAGTATTGTTGACATTGCACCAAAAAATACAGTCCCAATGCAAGATTTTTTCTACAGGGCTACACTTGATTTTGATGGAGTTTTCACCTTGTATTCTCACTCCAGAGCCTCCAATGGAGATGAAAGTTGGTCATCCTTGTGGTATAGGCCGGACGATATCTGCTTCAGCTTTTTGAATCCAAATACTCCGCTCGGAAGTGGGCCTTGTGGACACAACAGTATTTGTCAACATGAGCTGGATGGAAGGGTTAATTGCGAGTGCCCGTTTGGGTTTTCTTTCCTGGATGCGAAGAATACGCACTCTGGATGCAAGCCAGACAACCAGAGCTACCCAGGAGATTGTAACGAGGAAGGCTCTACCATCGGGGAGGATCGTTTTGACTTCAATCCAATGCCATTTGTAGATTGGCCCTTTAGTGACTACGAACTCCTACAACCTGCAAATGAAACAGAATGCAAAAGGTCTTGCCTTCTTGATTGTACTTGTGCAGTGGCCATCCTGGAACATCCGACGCTGAACAAGAACAATGGTATTGGAAAATGCTGGAAGAAGAAACTACCGCTTTCAAATGGGTGGTACAATAAAAGCTCAGTTAATAGAATAGCACTTATCAAGGTACCGAAACCAAGTGAACCCCATTTGATTCCTCCCAATCCAAATCCAGGCGAAAAAAAGCAGAATCAGGTCATTCTTATTCTCTCAGTCTTATTAGGCACATCAGCATTTTTCTACGTCTTTACTTTGATTATGGTTTCCTTGCTTCTCTTCTGTTTCTACCAAAGAAAGCTTCAGGATCTGAACAGGATCACCAAGAAAGGAGAGATTGAGACAAATCTACGTTCCTTCACATACAAAGAACTCGAAGATGCCACAAAAGGATTCAATGAAGAACTGGGAAAGGGTTCTTTTGGAACTGTTTATAAAGGAGAACTGTCCAGGAATTATGTTGCTGTGAAGAAACTAGACAAGGTTGTTCAAGAAGGGGAAAAAGAGTTCAAGACAGAAGTGAACGTGATTGGACAAACTCACCACCGAAATCTGGTTAGATTGCTTGGATATTGTGATGAGGCTGAGCACCGGCTTCTTGTGTATGAGTTGATGCAGAACGGATCTCTGGCAAACTTCTTGTTTGGAGTTCTGAGGCCTAGTTGGCAATAGAGACTACAGATTGCATTCGGAATTGCAAGAGGACTAACATATCTGCACGAAGAATGCAGCACTCAGATCATTCACTGTGACATAAAGCCTCAGAATATTCTCCTGGATGACTCTTTTACAGCAAAAATCTCAGATTTTGGATTGGCAAAACTTCTGATTAACAGCAAGAGTCATACCCTGACAGGCATTAG